ATCCAATTTCTTAAGGGTAGAGACCTCCCTATAAATGATTTTCATTATAGAAAATGTCCACAAAATTTGGTGATCTGCATTACATATAAAAAAAAATACAATAATAAAAGTTTATAATAAAATATTATTTATTTTTGTCGAGAATTAAATAATTTTTCCCAATTTTCTTGCATTATCATTGCAGTAGCACCTTCAATGACACCAAATATATGAAGATTTGTCTGTAATATACTTCCATTTGAGTTTGGTCTATATAAGTTTATCATTACTTTCACTATTTTACGTATTATAAGCAGATCAAGCAAATGTAGTGCTTCAGCTTTAGTCTTAATCAATCTTTCTTGTTTAAACGTTTTATCTTTATAAGTATTCAACAAGGTGAGTTCTTCATGATCACATTTCAATTGACAATAAACCTGTATAATATCCTTTGGTGTAGCTATTTTACCATTTTTGTTCAATTTATTCACCACTTCTTCACTTACCTCTACCATTTTGAGCACATCTGACATCAAATTAACTTTAGATACAGGTTTAGCTTGTACTCGTAAACAGTTGTCACAATTTCCACATGGAGGATTCAGAGTATCACCATTCCATGCAAAATATTCTGCTAGCATATTATATTGCTCCTCACAAAAATAAACAACTTCAAATATTTTTTCCCTTGATTTAGCCAGATAGGCTTGCCTTTTATCTATTTCAGAACCTTCATCTACTTCCTCAGTCACTCTACAAAAATCGTTTGTATTATTATTATTGGTTTTAATTTTACATTACAATATCAAAATACTTACGATTCTCTTCCTTGTGTTATAATTGTATAATTAGTACAAATATCATGACGGGAATAAAAAATCACAGATTTTGCAGAATTATGATCTCTTCCTGCTCTCCCTGTTTCTTGGACAAGATTGCCTATTATAAAAAGGTAAGATTATATTATATCAATCTGTTTAATTTTTAAAGCAGTAGTTAGTTACTTACCTATACTCAATGGAAATGTATAATGTATTACTAGGCGAATTTTTTTGTCATTAATTCCCATACCAAAAGCATTAGTTGCAATCATAATCTGAATTTTATTATCTTTCCATGATTTCAATTTTTTATTTTTTTCTCCATTACCTAGAGAACTGTAATACACTGCCATATTCATATCAAGATCAGCTTTTTCACAGAGTAGTTCATAAACATTATCACACACATGCACTGTTGGGCATTTTCCATCTTCTAATTCTTTCAACAACATGATAATTTCTCTAATTAATTTCTCTTTAGTACTTTTAGAATGCACCTCTATTTTAAGCTCTGGACGTGAAAAAGAAATTCCTCGAACAAAGGTAACATCAGATGGAGAAATACAAAGATTTTCCAATATTGCATGAGCATCAATTTCCTTGCAAGTTCCTGTAAGCATCATAATTGGGATATCAGGAAATAGAGTGGTGATTTTCCTAAGTTTGTTCCATGACTCTCTTTGTGAAAAGTTAGATTACATTTATTTCAATAATAATTATTTTACTAAAAAGCCAATTTATTTTAGTTTTTTTACCTATAATGTCCACTTTCTATAATACAATGTACTTCATCTATTACAAAAGACACAGGTGAATTTTTGGAAAAGTTCAACAGCATTTTGGTAAATGATTCATTATAAACAAAACTTTCTGCAGTCACATATATGAGTTTTGTCAATCCAACAGCAATTTCTGAAAAGACTTTTTCAAAGTATTCTCATGGCCTATCTTCACCAGTATAAATACTAGCACACCCAATTCCAGCAGCAATTGTCTCAATCTATAAAAGAGTAAGGTAAATTTTCTTTCTTTTAAATATAAATCATTAATAAAACTTACCACTTGATCATCAATTAAAGATACTAATGGGCTTATTACAATGGTCAAACCTCCACGCATTATAGCAGAAATCCAATAACACATTGATTTTCCAGCACCTGTTCTCATTGAAACAAAAGTATGATTTCCATTAACATATTCTGATATTGCCATTTCTTGTGATTCTTGAAACTTTTGATATTTGAATACTTTTGTAAGCACATCATATGATGTAGGTGGATTAGCTTTCAAGTCTTGTGAAGGTGGTGTGTATTGATTATTTGGAAATTCATGATGATATCCAAATTTCAAACAGAAGTCATGATACTGACACAATCCTGTTGGAGAATACTTGGGAAAAGCATCACAAGCCAGACATTTTATAATTTTTTCAAAATCAAATATATATTTGGCAAATGTAGGTTCAAATTCTTTAGCTTTTATTTTTTCCTGAACACTACGTCCATAAGGTACATAATCCTAAAAAAAAAAAAAAAAATCAAAGAATATTAACATATTATTTAATATATTTCAAACCAGGTTGTTTACCTTGTCCCAATCAAATGTCTCAAGATTCCTTTTCTGTTCTTGAATCTTCTTACCACGTTCTTGATTTCTTTCAGCAATACTAATAATGTTTTTCTGATTTTGCTTTATTCACTGTTAACTTATTTGATTAATATTATATTTGTCAGCTTCAGATAATTGTTGGATATTACAAGCTGACCTGGAAATTTCCAGCATATTCAATAAACCATTATTATATTGAAGAACAGCAAGGGCATGGTGATACTGACACAATCCTGTTGGAGAATACTTGGGAAAAGCATCACAAGCCAGACATTTTATAATTTTTTCAAAATCAAATATATATTTGGCAAATGTAGGTTCAAATTCTTTAGCTTTTATTTTTTCCTGAACACTATGTCCATAAGGTACATAATCCTAAAAAAAAAAAAAAATCAAAGAATATTAACATATTATTTAATATATTTCAAACCAGGTTGTTTACCTTGTCCCAATCAAATGTCTCAAGATTCCTTTTCTGTTCTTGAATCTTCTTACCACGTTCTTGATTTCTTTCAGCAATACTAATAATGTTTTTCTGATTTTGCTTTATTCACTGTTAACTTATTTGATTAATATTATATTTGTCAGCTTCAGATAATTGTTGGATATTACAAGCTGACCTGGAAATTTCCAGCATATTCAATAAACCATTATTATATTGAAGAACAGCAAGGGCATGGCGTGTGCTGTAAGTTTTCCAATAATCAATTTTTTTATCCTGAAAACAAATAACACGATTGAATGCTTCATTGTATGATGTTCTAATGTGAGTAATTAAACTTTGTTTTGTAGGTATATAAAAAATTTTTTTGAGAAATTCTCTAAACTGATCTATTTGATTGCTTGTATGATCTCTCAAATGTGGTTCTTTTAATTGAATATCAGGGTTTCCTTTTCTCCAACATACTTCATCCCAACAAAGGCTATGATTATCTGAAAGGTGAGCAACAAGTCCATCAATCTGTACCTTTTCTAGTTCAGTGTCAGATACAGTAATTTTATTTCCATCAAGCTTTCTTTCACTTGCTGCATTTACACATGAATTATAATAGGTCATGATTGTATTTTCATAATCTTTCCATATAATATTTTTTGCAGTAAAAAAAAGGATAATAATAAGTAGATTATATAAAAACAGGTATGTGATTTAAGAAAGTTTACCAATTTTGCCCTTATATTCATTCCAACATGTTTCAAATCTGCATATACTTTACTCACACAAGGAATATTATTTAAAGTTTTATTTGAGTTTAGGTCACCATCTACACAAATATCCAAGAGTACTTCAGCTTCTTCCAATACTGGTGATATTTTTTCAATAATTCGTAACAATATTGCATGTTCCATCTGACGTGATGATTGCTCATGATTGCCATGAAAAACTTCATACTCTTTGCCATCTTTATTTTTCAACTGATGTGGTTTTTCAGCAGTAGAAAAGGCAATAACAGGTTTGTGGTCATAATCTATTTGTAAAAAAGACTTTTAATTAGCAATTCTAACCAATTAATAATATTGTATTACCTTCTAAATTTCCCTGAAATATTAGCTCTCCACTAGCTTGATTTGCATTTCGACAATGTGACCAGGAACAATCAAAACTAGCAGGAAGTATTCTTTCTCCTTTTGCTTTGATATATGCAATAGCTTTTGTTAAAGCAATTTGTGCACTAACTTCAGCTTCATTATTTATGCTTTTCAAATATTCATTTTGTTTATCATAATAATGACCTTTTGATGACTGTGTTGTTACTCCCATCATAGAAAAAATGGTTTGAAGTTGTCTCCTATTAACACCACCAACAAGTCCTGCTCCTGCTGCAAGTAAAGAAAATTTTGTACCAGGTAACTCATTATTATATTCAGTAATTCCTTGACACATTTTACAATTGATTGTAATTTGAAGATTATAGCCAATTTTATTAACTTTCAGCTTCTTTTTAGAAACAAGGTTGAATAAATATGTTGGTGAGATATTGTTCAGTGTTAACTAATATTGTTGATCCAAATTTATTTTCTTCTATAGTTTTTTGCACCCAATCTTTCAATGAATCCTTATTTTTAAATTCTTTGCATATTCAAGGTCGGCTTTAGCACGTTTGAATCTTTTACGTAATGCATCACTTGATTTTTTTGAAGATTCATAATCAATTGCAAGAGCTAAAGTTGCTTCTGAAGATAAGTTTAGACCTGTTTCTTTAATTTCTATTCCTTGACAAATTATTGGATCTTGTGAAATTAACGATGAATTTCTTGCCTTTGCAATTATTTTTTCACCCTTTTTTTGCATAGTGGCAGTTAGCTTTACCATTTTGTTTTGAGGTTTTGTCAATGCAACAGAAGTTTCAAAAATATTTGGATAAATTGAATTGACTTTGGCTTGTAGATCATGTATAATATCAGGGTTACCAAATCAAGAATATCTGGAATAGAAATCTTCCCTGACCAATTTATGTATTTCTTCATGCTAACAAAAAAATCTGGGTTTGTTCCTTCGTGTATAATTTGTGTCATCTCCACATTATTATAAATTTTCCAATGATATGTAAGGTATTCATTATTACTTTGAATTTCTAGATAAAAATATATAACTCACCAAACTTTCCAATAACACAATGTCCAGGAAGTAAAGGAACCAATGGAGCAGTTGATATATCTCTTTTTGTAACATTACGATAATATGGATTTTTAGAATGATCCTCCACATTTATTTGTAATTCAGCATGAATACTAAGAATCTTGTGTGATTTTGATATATCACGAAGCATGTATCCACCATTTGCTCTTTTAAATTTTTCTAAAGAAGAATTGTTAGTTTGCATGTATTGTATCCACTGTGGAATCCTACAATAAATAAACAAAAATCAAAAAAAATATAGAACTTAAATATTTATTTGCTTATAATAAATAATACCTTTTATTTTTTTTACTATTACTATTGTTTTCTACTGTCACTAAATAAACATATTTATAAAATAAAACTAGAATTAGTATAAGCTCGACATAACATTATTAATATTAGACATTCGCGACTATAGTCATTCGCAACTTAATAAGACATTCATGATTTCAAATAAGTTAAAATAAAATATTATTGCATTTAGCATAGATATTTATGTGTTTATGGAAGTTACTTGTGGTTAAAATAGCTTTAACAGTCATTTGCAAATTTTAACTTAGGAATTCACTAACTTTACTAGGAATTCGCCAGGAATTTGAACTTCGTTAATAATATAAGTCTTTATTTTTTAATACTAACTTTTATTTTTTTTTACATAAAGTTAAACTATAGTTCTTAGCAATATATTCTATGTGATTTTATAAAGGAATAATAAAAGATATGACTCGTTTTATTTTAATATGTCATGGGAAATTTTTTTGGACATTTTTCATATTCGATTTTGTAATATGTAGATCCTCTACCCTTAAAAAGCTGGACTTCTGAAGAAGATAGTAATGATGTTTAAAAGTGGTTTGATTATTAGAACAAATTAATTTGTTTTTTTTAAAAAAATAATTTTTTTCATTTTATTATAAAAATAAAATTCTTAAATTTAACTTGACCAATAAAATTATAAAAATAAAATTCTTAAATTTAAACTTGGCCAATAAAATTATAAAACCGTGGTTAAACTTGGGTTTGAACCGCGGTTCAAACTGTGATCAGTAAACTGTCAATTGGTGCAGTTCACTAGTCAAACTGGCAGTTTATAAACCAAACTGAACCGAACCGAACCGAACCATTCCCATCCCTACCAATAAAATTATCCCTTAAATTGGCTATCGTACAAATTTGTACGATTAAATTTTTTTATATAAAAAAATTTTTCTGATCATCACGCTTTCTAATTAACAAATGATATTTGAGATTCTATACATTGATCTATATATAGAAATTCGGCCATTATTATTATGGGTTTTGTAAAACTGTAAAAAGTCTACAATGCCCGTGTCGATCATTACCTTAAAAATTGATATATTCATAATAAAATTTTTTATTGTGCGATTTGATTGGTGGAATTTTGTAATTTGCCAATAAAATTTTTCGAAATTCCCTTATTCGAAAATGTGGACAGTTTAAGGGATACACGTTAAATAAATAGAATTAATAAAATAAAAAAATAAAAATAGAAATAAAATTTAATTTGACCCGAAATTAAAGGATTCGGCTAAATTATCTTCGTCATCGTCAAATTCTGGTAACACTATAAAGATTAAAAAAATATATTTAGGCAAAAGACAAACTCTTTGTATAAAAATTCATCAATTTTGAATAAAAATATATTTTTTCAAATTAACAAATTATAATAGATTTTTACAGATTATGAAAGAGAAAGTTTGAAGGTATTTATTATGGAGGCTTGTGTAAAAAAAAAATGGGATAAAAAATAAATGAAAGTGTCACATCAATTCATTTGCATCATGGTAGGAGGTAACATTACAATTCATCATATTACATTACAAGATATAGTTTATTTTCTAGGGAGCATGCTCGTTCCAATTTGAATTCTAACTTACAAAATTTGCTTTCAAGAATTTTAATAATTATTAAATAAAAAAATTTTGTATGTCACAGGCTATATTAATTCGCATCATTAATAAATTGCTGAATGTTACTATTACTGTCAAATTGATTCACACAATTATAAAAAATCACAATTTGATATGCTTGACTGTTTGATTTGGCGGTGACATACAATAGAGTTTTCCCATAATCACAAGCATTTTTTTATAATAGACTGTGATATCTGGTTGAACTCTCTTATTTTTTTTGGTGGTAGTTGTACATTTAATTGTCTTGTTAAAATAGTATACTATAATATTACCATTTGCAAAATCTCACGCAAGTTCAATCATATATATAACATGAACATTAATAAGATCCATAACATCAGAAAAACAAAAGTACATAATCTAGAGGCATAAAACGACTTCGAAGTCAGATGTCCAAGTTTTTCAGAGAAGGCTTCAGTATCAAGAAGAGATGGAAATTTAAGTGGTGGTGTTTATGTAGAAATATTTCTTTCATGACAAGGAGCTAAATTTATATTTACCCTGTCCATTTTCAAGCAATCAGATTCGAACTCAATAAGTCCCAGAAAGTCCCAGGAAAGGACCCTGCTCATTGTTGTGTAAATCTGACCTGCTGCAAACATATTTTTTGTCAACCACCAGAGTCAACAGAATTGTTCTCATTTGAATTTTTATGATTGTATGTTAAATTAAAAAATTTTAATTTTGTTTGAAGAATAAAAATTCCTTTCGGAGAAAACAAATAAAAATCTATTGATTATATTAAAAATATCAATGAAAAATTTCCTTTTGGAGAAAGCAAATAAAATCAGATTGATCTTTAATTTGACAAACATGAATAAAAAGATCTCAATTAAGAAAAAAAAAGCTTGTTGATTTCTTTTAACGATCGAGATTCGTTTGATGCTTATCCTTGAGAAAAAAGAAACTCGATTGGGGATAAATAAACAAATACGAGGAAATTCGTAAATAACTTTTGATTCACAAAATCATTATCATGAGGATTCTTCTTTGCGAAGGATCTTTTTTCTTTTAATTAAAAAGAAAAAAGCTGAAATATTATTGTAAACGTTTGTTTAAAAAATTCTTTTGATATATTGATAGGAAAAATAGTTTTTTTTTTGATTTCGGGCGGCTTACTTGGGTACAGAATTCTGATTGGCCAATACTAATCTGTATTTCACAAAACTCTGCCTTCCTGGGAGCCGTTAAACATTTTACCTTTTGTTTTTGACCGCTTGAGAAACAGAGGTATCAATGTCGTAAATAATATATTTCGTTTTTGTGGATGCATCTAATCTTAAGCATTATATTTCCTTTATTATCATTATTTTTTTCATCACACGTGAATCAATTAATCATTTATTATATATTATGTACATCCGTCAAGAAAGACGAACTATCTATTTCTCGAATGGGTTTGGGCTTTTAATCTTTATTAATGATATCAGATTTGTTGCAATGATTCTTTAATAAATAAATAAATTTTTTGCTCAACGAATAAACAACAATATAGGGTATGTCACAACCCTTGCATTTGAACGTAATGTGTAAAGCAAAATCGTGGAATGCCGTTTTGGCACTACGTATCTCAATCCTCGAATTTGAATTCAACGCAAAAGCAAAACCGACGCACCATTTTTTTGGTAATTTTTGGTCCACGAGTGGGTAGCGGGTCTATTTGTATGTTTTTGTAATAATTTATTAGACTATTCAATCAATGCACCATTCAAAGAATATCGTCGCACTACAATGCCTACTTGTATTTCACGAAACTCACTGTTACATCTCGGTTTAAACGCAAATAAATAATCGAAACATTTGTCGTGTCACCATATCCTTCCAAAATCTGTAAGGCTTGTAATTTTCGTGCTAGTTATCCTTTTTTTTGTTTAGTCGTGCTTGGTTTTTTCGGTTTTTGGCACGATCAACGTTTTCACCTTATTTTAGTTGATTTTGTGTCGTATGGCAAATAGTTTATTTCTTAAATAGTTCATTAACAAGTGAGCAGTGAAGGAGCGAGTAACGTAACTAACGGTTGGAAAAAAAATCTATTTTTAAAACCTAATTTTTTGGGGAGGAATTTATGTTGTCGTTGGGTGGTACAGTGCCGGTCACAAGTACACATCCAATTGTTTCAATTTTAAAATTTTGATGATCTTTCCAAAATAAGCAATAAA